CAGGGCCTCTCTGGAATGGGGTCCTATGACCAAACAAAGTAGGTCAGATCATTTCTTTATGGCCAGATTTTACACAGAATAATTGTAGGTTTTATGGCTGGCTTTTGAAAAAGAGGTTCTGCTTTTATGACCTGCTGTGGGGAAGAGGCTTCCATTTCTATGACTAGCTTCAGGGAGGAATGGGACTCAGAGACACGAGGAATGAAGAAGTTCAAAGAAAACTGTTTGCTTCTTAGGCCTTCATTTTGGGGTAGTGTTTTCTGAGCTCCAACACCAGCATTGTGTGTATCATCTATCACTTCTTTTTACACATGCTAACATTCCAACCACAGAGAGTTGCACAGTGCTTTTTTCACTTAACTTATTCATTCATTCAACAAATACTTACCAAGCTCTTACTATGTGTCAGGCACTGTTCCCAGTCATGAGAAAACAGCAGAACAAAACAAAGTGCCTTCTTAAATGAGCTTATGCTGTGGTAAAAGAGACAAACAAGCAAATAAACAAATATATAACTGTCAGACACTGACAAGAACCATGAAGAAAAGAAAGGAGAGTACAGTTTGTGGGGTCTACTATTTTCAAGAGTAGCCAAGGCAGGGCTTTTTGAGGATGAACATGGGCGCACAGACATGAAGGAAGTGAGGAACTAGGTATAGAGACACCTGGAGGAAGACCGGTTCCAACATTGAGTAGCCAAAATAAAGGCCTAGATAGAAGCATGCTTGTAAAGCAGCGTCCCAACCTTTTTGTCACCAGGGACGAGTTTCATGGAAGACAATTTTTCCATGGATATGGTAGTGGGGAGGGGGGTTGGATAATTCAAGCCCCTTACATCTATTGTGCATTTTATTCCATTATTACATTGTAATATATAATGAAATAATTATACCACTCACCATAATGCAATCTCTGCTAATGATAATCTGATTTGCAGCTGCTCCCCAGGGCCAGCATCACTGTCTGAGCTCCACCTGAGATCATCAGGCATTAGCTTTCATAGGGAGTGTGCAACCTAGATCCCTGGCATGCGCAGTTTACAGTAGGGTTTGTGCTCCTATGAGAATCTAATGCTACTGCTGATCTGACAGGAGGTGGAGCTCAGGTGGTGATGCAGCAATGGGGAGCAGCTGTAAATACAGATGAAGCTTCGGTGGGCCGCAGAGCAGTAATGCCTGGTCACCGACTGAAAACATAATACATGTACTTGGTATAAAAATGCTGCATAAAAGAGCATACAGTGAAAATGTAGTGTCCTTCCATCTTAAACCCCCCTCTCCCCTTCTCTCAGATCTCCTTCCAGAGTTCCTAATATAATATACACATGCCAGTGTAGGAACCAAGGCTCTTGGCCCCCTAAAGGCTCATGACACGAGGCAGATTAATAGGAGAAAAGGCATACAAATGTATTTAACATGTATACATGGTAGCTTGCAGAATGAAAACTCAAAGGTACAGGGGAAATTGTCCATTTTTATGATTAGGTTTAAAGTATGGACAGCTATGGAGAAGCGTGATTGAACACAATGGATATGATCTAATGCTAATACACTGAGTCATGAAACCCAGCAAGGCCTGTCTGTCTAGATTTTCCTTGGCCTCTCTGGGCATGCATTCCTGCCTTCTGGGAATAGGAGAGGGCCCTCTCTGGAATGGGGGTCCTATGACCAAACAAAGTAGGTCAGATCATTTCTTTATGGCCAGATTTTACACAGAATAATTGTAGGTTTTATGGCTGGCTTTTGAGAAAAGAGGTTCTGGCTTTTATGACCTGCTGTGGGGAAGAGGGCTTCCAGTTTCTATGACTAGCTTCAGGGAGGAATGGGACTCAGAGACACGAGGAATGAAGAAGTTCAAAGAAAACTGTTTGCTTCTTAGGCCTTCATTTTGGGGTAGTGTTTTCTGAGCTCCAACACCAGCATTGTGTGTATCATCTATCACTTCTTTTTACACATGCTAACATTCCAACCAGAGAGAGTTGCACAGTGCTTTTTTTCACTTAACTTATTCATTCATTCAACAAATACTTACCAAGCTCTTACTATGTGTCAGGCACTGTTCCCAGTCATGAGAAAACAGCAGGGAACAAAACAAAGTGCCTTCCTTAAATGAGCTTATGCTGTGGTAAAAAGAGACAAACAACAAATAAACAAATATATAACTGTCAGACACTGACAAGAACCATGAAGAAAAAGAAAGGAGAGTACAGTTTATGGGGGTCTACTATTTTCAAGAGTAGCCAAGGCAGGGCTTTTTGAGGATGGAACATGGGCGCACAGACATGAAGGAAGTGAGGAACTAGGTATAGAGACACCTGGAGGAAGACCGGTTCCAACATTGAGTAGCCAAAATAAAGGCCCTGAGATAGAAGCATGCTTGTAAAGCAGCAGTCCCCAACCTTTTTGTCACCAGGGACGAGTTTCATGGAAGACAATTTTTCCATAGATATGGTAGTGGGGAGGGGGGGTTGGGATAATTCAAGCCCCTTACATCTATTGTGCATTTTATTTCCATTATTACATTGTAATATATAATGAAATAATTATACCACTCACCATAATGCAACCTCTCTGCTAATGATAATCTGTATTTGCAGCTGCTCCCCAGGGCCAGCATCACTGTCTGAGCTCCACCTGAGATCATCAGGCATAGGATTTTCATAGGGAGTGTGCAACCTAGATCCCTGGCATGCGCAGTTTACAGTAGGGTTTGTGCTCCTATGAGAATCTAATGCTACTGCTGATCTGACAGGAGGCGGAGCTCAGGTGGTGATGCAGCAATGGGGAGCAGCTGTAAATACAGATGAAGCTTCGGTGGGCCGCAGAGCAGTATGCCTGGTCACCGACTGCTATGTGGCCTGGTTTATAGCAGGTCATAGACATGTACTAGTCCACAACCCAGGGATTGAGGACCATGCAGTTGTAAAGGAAACCAAAATATTCCTCTCTAAAATACTGGGGAATCACAAATATTGGGGAGCTAAAGAGGGTCAAACACAGAGGGACACTGCTTCTCCCTCTGCTTGCATAATGTCAGGACAGCAATTTACAAAGATAAAGGTATTCCTGCCCTGCTCTCTTCCTTTTCCCACCTTTATAAGGCATGCTTATCAGCTCAGAGACAGCAGAGCCAGATCTAGGAGAATTTACTCTTCCCATAAATTTATCTTCCCACATTTTTCTGTCTTTTGGAAGCCTGAAGATGTTCTTTTCTTTGTCTTGTCACTATATGAGATTTATGGCACTTTCTAAAATACTATGTAAGCAAGGCCTCTAAGCCACTGCCTTGAGAAAAAAAAATACTTTTAAGCTGAGGCCTCTCCCAAATGATGGGTATACTATGCATTAAACTTCTGCCAGTTTTTTTCATATTAATTTGACATTTGTTTTAACTAAGAACCTAAGAGGTTCTAAACTAAGAGGGAAAAAAGTATGTTTTCTCTCCTACACTTAACTTCAAAACCACAAAGCCAATGTGGCTGGAGCATGAACAAGAGGGGAAATGGTAAGAGATGAAGTTGGACAGGTACCTGGGGGGCAGTTCACTTCTGGTCTTGTTGGTTGTGACAGCAACTCTAGATTTTATTCTAAATGTGATGGGGAAACTGCTGAAAGGTTTTCAGCAGAGGAGGACATGGTCATGTTTACATTTTAAAAGGATCATCTTACTGCTGGTTGGAATGTGTAGACTAGGGCAGGGGTGAGGTAGTGTTGGAGGTAATAGAAGAAAAGGCAAGACCAGTTAGGAGACTACTGCTGTATATATAACTTGAAGATAGGTGTGTATCTAAACCCCATCTACCTTGGTCCTTCTTAATTCTTGCTACAGTAATCTATTTTATGGATGTACCATAATTTATTTACTCAATCTCCTACTGAATGGTGTAATGAATGTATCCTTTGTGTTTAAGTTCCAGTACATCTGCAGAATTATTCCAAGAAGTATAATTGCTAGATACAAAGTAAGTAATTTCCCATATTGACATTAAATCTTGTCAGCCCAAATAAATGGCTGGGGCAAAAGTCTCAATCAGTGGAGGTTTAATTAAGCCAGGATTTTGAGGATGCATCCTGGGAAAAACACAAGTAGCAGAGATGTGGCTGTTTTTCCAAAGGGGAAGTTGGAACCTTCAGCATTTTACAGGCATAGAGAGAGAAGGAAAAGGCAGGGCTGAGGGAGGGGTTAGTGGTTACATTCTTGTGAGGCCTTAGAAATCTACATTGTATTTACATACAATAACAGAGAGAAGGAAGCATCAACTATGTAGGTGTCCCTGGGTAGGTGGAAGAGTGTTTCATTCAGTCTTGTCTCCAGTTGTTACCTGTAAGATAAACTTGTAATTCTTTATTAGTATGGAATCAAACAGGCTTTAGTTTTAGGTGCTAGACATAGGTATAATTTGCATGTCCTTGTTTATGGGAGGTTAGCAAGAAATTTCAAGAAATTTCTTAAATGAATGATCTCTGGGGCCTGTTCTTCATTCTCTTTTGCATAAGGAGTGGGGGGAGGGGCTGAGACTTAGATTTTGTTTTTACAATCTGGTGATCTAATTATCACCCAAAGAAACAAGTTTATTCACTTTTTGCCACATCAGCCCTTCACAGATTATAAAACAATCTGCCAACCCTCTCCCCATCAGTTTTCTCCTCTTTAAATATTCCCAAGCTAGCAAGCTGCCACCTGAGGCCCTCCCCCCAACACCCCCCCTCCTTGTCAAATGTGCCCATCTCAGGTTACATAGAGATAAACTGAGGCACGAGGTACAAGTCCTCTGCCTGGCCTCTCTGTCCCCCTTCCCCCACCTTCCTCCAGGACAAGTTCCAGGCTGCCAAACCCAACTCAGATCCCTCACTGACCAGGACTCCGACACCCACCGCATTCTTCCTCCCCCAGCTCCGCTGCTGAGGAAGGCGTTGCGAACTCGCCAGGTCCCATCCGAGCCTCCGTAGCGCGAGCGCCGCGGGAGTTCGGCAGCCGCGGTCGCCAAGGTAACGGGCTCCGCTGCAGGCTGCGGGCGCCAGGCTGCCCCGGGGAGGCGCTGCGGGCCGGCGGCCCCGTCACGACGAGGCGGCGAGGCGGCGAGGCGGCAGGTGAGCAGGGACCCAGCGGGCAGTGCCAGCCCCAATGATCCGGCCTGGCGTCGCCTAGTACACACGGGCGAGGGGCCGGGTCTCGGGGGACCCCAGGGAAGGAGGCTGGAGCCGGACCTTTGTCCCTCAGCTGCGTCGGGGGCGGTGCCCCCAATGCCCTTTGACCCTGCCCTGCGTTCAGCCGGCGTGCGCTTTCTGCTGTTTATCGTAATTTTAGGCATTGCTTGGCCTTATTCGGAAGTTTTTTTTTGTTTTTTTTTTTAAAGCCCTTATTTGGGGGTCGGGGGATAACTCGAAACTGCAGAAAATGTTTATGTGTGCGACTCTTCTGGGGCCAGAGAGGATTGACTCTGTGAGTCAGTTTTCTTGCCTGCAAATTGGGGATAATGATAGCATCTGTCTTATAAGGTTATTACAAAGTAAATTTATATTTAAAATTATTGAAGGTAGGTCCTCACTACTTGGGAGCTTTTATTATTACTACGACTACAAGGAGGTCCATCAATGAATATTTATTGTGAACCAGGGGTGAAAAAGTGAATGAGACATCTTGTCCTGCGGGAACTCCACAGTTTTGCGGAGGAGACAGATCCATAAACAGGCATTCATAGCGACTCGAGCTATGATTTTGGACACATAGAGGGCTATGAATGTACGTAGAAGACAGCCTAGATTTCCGGAGGTGGGGTTAGTGAGGATAGTCAAAGAGGAGAGATTCCAAAAGAAGGTGACTTCTGAAATGAGACCTGAAGGCTGCCTTTGTATTGGCCAGAGGATGAGGCTGGTGAAGTGCACCAGGCTCTAGAGACAGGGGGCGTGTGCAAAGCCCTGGGGGGAGAGTCCAGACTTCTTGGGCATCTGCAAGGATTTCAGGCTGCCCTGAGACCATATTCTGAGAGTTGAAGGTGGTCTGGCCAAATGATGATTGAGAGATTAGCAGGTGTTCCTCCTGAAAGACTTTCTTTGTATGTTTTGAGGAATTGGGACTTTATTTTGGGGGCAGAGGGAAACCATCAAAGGGTTTTAAGCAGAGGGGAGGGTGTGGGGTGTGTGCATGTGTGTTACGCAGTATGTGTGTTTGCTCAGAGCTATGGTTTCAGAAAGATCAGGGTTTTTTTTGTTGTTCTCTCTTGGTCTCATCACTGTTCCCATCTGTTTTTCACTTTGCAGCCATTTATTTCTGGATGATTAAAAAAAAAAAAGATATATGTAGTTTTGAGACAAGGCCTTGCTGTATTGCCCAAGCTGGTCTTGGACTCCTCAGCTTAAGCCATCCTCCTGCCTCAGGCTCCTCAGTTGAGTGGGACTCCAGGTGCACACCACCACACCTGACTAATTTAAAAAAATATTTATTGAGCATCTATTATGTGCTAGGCATTGTATAGGTAGTAAGGAAACAGGTCCTCCCCACATGAAGATCACACATTAGTGAAGAAAATATACATCAGGCAATTGATTATAAATATTATGCGAGTTGTGAAAGGGGGTGCATATTAAGGTGAATCCAACCTAGTTGGGAGATTCGGGGAGGGTCTTGATGAAATGTGTGGAGGGAGTAGTATGAGTTAGCTGCAGTGGGCAATATTCTAAACATGTATTCCAAACCTGTTCAAGGTACATTCATGAAGATGAAAGCAGTCCATGACAACTGGAACTTAAAAATCAATATTTAAAGAGATCCATCTAGAAGGATTTTAAAAAAAGGCCCAGATCATTCAGGGCTATTGCATTGCATGCTCTTGGAAGAAAGAGCCATTCATATGTAGGCTACACCAAGAAGAAATGGCTAGAGATGTAGGAGGGAAACCAGGTGAGTATAGTATAGTAATGAAGGCCAAAGGAGAATGTCAGCTTTTCTGATGTTACTGAGATGTCAAGTAAGATAAGTTAAAACTTAAAATGTTTCCTTGGATAAATAAATATGGAGGTCACTGGGGACCCTCATTGAGCAGATTTGGTGAAATGGTGGGGGTGGAATCTATAATATCGGCAGCTTTCAAAGGTTCAATGTAATATATCAGTGGGATGAGCCAAGAGTGGGATGTGAGAAAGACAAAGTGTAGGCAGCTCGAAGAAGTTTGGCTGTGAAGGGAGGGAGAGAGAAGGCTGGAGAGCAATTGGCGAATAAGGTGAAGGTTTTTTTAAGCATGAGAGAGATTAAATGCTCTTGGCAAAGAGCCAGTAGAGAGGGAAAGGGTGAGAAGTTACAGGAGATGAAGGGGAGAATTGATAGTGTAACTTTCCTGAGAAGGTGGGAGTGAATAAGCTCCACAGCACAGATCCTTTAATAGGAGTCTGATGGTTTCTTTTTGGAGAAGTAGGAAGCAAGATAATTACCGAAAGGAGTGCAACAATGTTATGCAACAACAATAAATGAATAAAAGGTGTAAGTGTGGAAAGAAAGTCACATCTTCCATTATTGGCAAGTAGGCATTTATTGAACTACTGTTGTGTTAAGCACTTTTCATGCATGATAATCTCAATTATTAATATAATCTTTACAGCAACCTTGTGAGAAAGGCCTTATTTTAATCCCTAGTTTATGGACGAAGAAACTGAGATAAAATGCTCACCCAAGATCACATAATATTTGAATTCAGGTCTGCCTGAGCTTTTTTTACTCTTAACCACTAACTAGATGATATAATTCTCTACCTATAATATGATTATCTTCTGAGGAAATGCAAGAGAATTAAGTTAAAAATACTCAGATAAGGTTAAGTGAACAGCTGCTATAAGATAGATAAAAAGCAGGCCAGGCGTGGAGGCTCACGCCTGTAATTCTAGTACTCTGGGATTCCGAGGCGGGAGGATTGCTTGAGCTCAGGAGTTCGAGACCAGCCTGAGCAAGAGTGAGACCCCTGTCTCTATTAAAAAATAGAAAGAAGTTTGGCTGGGCAACTGAAAAAAAAAAAAGTTAGCCAGGCGTAGTGGTACACACCTGTAGTCCCAGCTACTTGGGCAGCTAAGGCAGGAGGATTGCTTGAGCCCAGGAGTTTGAGGTTGCTGTGAGCTAGGCTGATGCCATGTCACTCTACCAGGCAACAGAGCCAGACTCTGTATAAAAAAAAAAAAAAATAGATAAAATAGCTTTAAAATAGCATAAAGATAGCTTTATGCAAGCAATTATAGTCAAAAATGCAATTGTAGGAAAAATGACAATAGCAACATGAAAAATAAATACTTAGAAATAAATTTAAAAATAAATATGCCCATAGCCTCATAGAGTAAGAGTTGGCCGGGGGTAGTGGTGGGAGGGCAGAATGGGTGTTAGGATGAAGAGGCTATGGGAAAATTAGGATATTGATACCAGAAAAGGGGCAGGCAAAAATCAGGTGTCTAACATAAGATTTAATCAGAAAGTATGTAAAGATGTTGACTATGATGTTTTTATAATATTGAAAAACTGAAAATAGACTAAATTATGGTGCAGTCACATGATGGATACTATAAGCTATTAAAAGAAAATTAGGTGGGAGCTATATATATTAGCTATATATATGATGTTTACATCATATGGTTAGGTGCAAAAAGCAGATTACAGTATGTTCCTGTTTTTGTTTTTTTAAAGTGTGTACATACATATTTATAGAAAATGTCTGAAAATATTCTTTTAAAATTTTTTAAATGTTTAACTGTGATAAAATTCACATGAAATTTACCATCTTAACCATTTTTAAGTGTACGGGTTAGTAATATTAAATATATTCACATTGTTGTGCAGCCAATCTCCAGAACTTTTTCATCTTGCAATACTATAAAGCTCTGTACCTGTTAAACAATTCCCCATATCCTCCTCTCCCTCAGTCCCTGGCAACTACCATTCTACTTTTGTGTCTATTAGTTTGGCTACTCTAGATACCTCACAGAAGTGGAATCTTGCTGTATTTATCTTTTTGTGAGTGGTTTATTTTACTTAGCATATTGTCCTCATGGTTCATCTTTGTCGTAGCATGTATCAGAATTTCCTTCTTTTTTAAATGCTGAATAATACTCCATTGTATGTTTATACCACATTTTGTTTACTCATTCATTCATTTAGTGGACACTAGGTTTGCTTCCATCTTTTTGCTGTTGTGAATAATGCTGCTATGAAACACAAGTGTATTAGGTAAATTCTTTATGTCTTTGCTGTGAGATTATGGGGAAACTTTTATTCCTTTCCTCATTGCCTTATTTTTCTTTTTTTATGAGCATGAATTGCTTTCACAATCAGAAAAGGCAATCAAGATGAGGTATGGGGGAACAAAGGTAAAAAAGGGCAGTAGCAGTGGGAATGGAGTGGAGAGGTTGGATTTGAGAGAGATTTCAGAAGGAGAATCAGCAACACTTGACAATTAAGAGATATGGGGGAGAAGAGTGGAAGGTGATGCCTTCCTGGCCTCTGATAGGAAGAGGCATCCCTCCTGGTGGGGTTTTGACTAGGGGAGGAGGAAGCAACTAAGGCTGGAGAGCCACCTGAGTCTTTTTTTTTAGCAGTCTGGGCTTTTTCCAGAAGGCAGAAAGACACCATTGAAAGGAAGTGAAATTACTTGATCAGATTTGATATAGAAAGAGAACCCTGGCTCCCTCCAACCCATTCTGCAAGCTGAAGCCAGGTAGCTGAATATCCCTTTGGGTTACTAAGATTTGAATCTCTGGTAATTTCCTTTTATTTGAGATTTGCCTTTAGTGCTAAAAGATACATACCTACTGTTCTAAAAGCACCTGGAATGGTTTAAACCAAGTCTTATTTGGATTACATTGATGCCTAATTGTGGTCAGTTTTATCTCAACACAGTCTCCTGTAAATTTACTTTCTACCTTTAGTAGGAGAAATGTGAGTAATGGCAAAAGTAAAGAAGAAATATAAACAATTCAAAGTGGAGAACTTCAATTTACTTAAAATATCTTTGATACTCTCCTTTGAGAGAAAAGGGCCAGTATAAAGTAAACAGTGTCATATTAAGGAACTATTACAAAACAAAAATTCTTAGGGTCCAGATGGATCTAGCCCATCA